TATGTTTGATACGAAAAAACACTCGGTGGAGATGTATGTTCCCCAGAGACTGATATGATGCCCCAGTCAGTTGTGTGTCTGTTGATGCACCATTCCACACTCTGTAACTCTTTACCATACTTTAGTGGGTACGCTTTGATCTCCAGTATGCTACATATTACTGCTCTAATGGGCCCGTGAAGATCCGGGGTAGAATAGGTCTTCAGCAACCCATGCTTGCTTTAAAGGCGACTATGCTTGTTGTACAAGGCGACTAATGGGATCGGGTGGTCAGACCCGCTGACTTGGTTCATGCATGTCATCATATCCCAATTGGGTGGATCGATGTTCATGTTGTCAATCACTGGATTGTCTGGTCCAGACTTGATTATTTACAGACCGCCATCATATAGCTGGAATATTGCTGAGTGCAACGTTGAACAACAAACAAACAAACAAACAAAGATCGATTATTTCATGGGCATAAGCTGAGCTTTAGGAACCAAAACCGAAAGGGATAGGTCGAAACATCAAAGATGCAAGGATTTCATTGGAGGGCATCTTCACTGCAGAATGTAATTGGTTGTGATTTTTACCTATGTTTGAGATCTGATATTGATTAAGCACCAATTGAATATCCTAATGTATTACAGTTTGCTGAGTGCTTGTTGGAGTCAGAATGATGTCAGCTCTTCAGTACCCCTATTTTCACAGTCTGGGGTTGAAGTTGAGATGGGTTAGGAAGGAGCCAGGATATTGTGGTCTTTGATGTGAATTTGCAGTTTTACTGCTTCATGGCACAGTGCCTGTGTTATTGCCATCATCTGTATTACTATTATAAATCATGGGCGTAGCGGTAATCAAGCCCCCAGGTAATCAAGCCCCCAGCTCGGGGTTGTTTGGTTCAGGTCCAGGTGTTCATGCCATGATTCACAAATGTTTTGGATTTTTGTTTGTGGGAAAGTTACAAGTTAACCATGGCGGATATCAGTTCCTGAAACCTGAATATTTTTTCTTCCTTCTTGGGAATCCATAGACTTGCACAAGGCTCTAACACAATAAATATTAGTTTAAATCATAATTTCTAGAAGATATAAATAATAAGAAGAAGTTGTTGCTTTGAGAGACTTGGGTCCTTTCTGCTTATCTGGACTTGCCTGTCATAAGGGACCCGTGAAGATCCGGGGTAGAATAAGACTTCAACCTATGCTTGCTGTAGAGGGCGACTATATAATGCTTGTCGTAAGAAGCGACTAACGGGATCAGGTGGTCAGGCTCGCTGGCTTGGTTGGTGCATGTCATCGATCCCAATTGCGTGGATCGATGCCCAAGATGTCAATCACTAGATTGTCTGGTCCAGACTCGATTATTTACAGAAAGCTGAATATTTCTGAGTGCGGTGTTAAACAACCATCCAACTATTATAAGGATAGAATTACTACACATTCATGGTCTTTCAGTGGAGCCTTGGAGCAAGGCTAGGGAATCCAGGATGGGTTAGACTGAGATCCTGGAAGATAAACTACATGAATGATAGTTTAACAGTTATATATTTTCATAAATACGTTTATGTTGTTTATTTGGATTATTTAGTTTCTTTGATTAGTCTTGATTAGTCTTGATATGTTCACCCACACAAACACCCCATTAGGCTTGTGAAACCCTTTCATCCCCTGATTTAGTATTCTGGCAAGGGTATTGTTGAAACCCTGTTAGGCCTGCCTCGTGATCTGGAAAAGCTATCATTGAAAGTCTTGTTAACCTTTAGCCTGCAGAATTGTTTTAGCATAAGGCGCTATATAGAGGTAGGACAATTTCAAACAGTCGGTGCTTCATTAAAAAAGGGCCAATTGAAGAAATATTTTGTGCATTTATTCCTAATAGAAAACTACACATTACTATGTAAAAATGTCATTATTATTTCAATCACCCAGGTTAAGACCAAAGCGAACACAAAATTTGTAAATTTTCGTGAACTCACCTGAATTACACTATTGGAGATGGTTTACGTTTCATGTTATTTGATATTTTGCAAGCTGGTCATTTATGCATGCCATACATAACTTAAAATATATGCGAAGTCTATTCATTAAACAGTTATAACAAGTTTAATTTGGGGGTTTCCTTCGACTATTCGCCTGTGGAATGGGTTCGACAGTAGCATTGAGAGCAGTAAACCTCCCAATGCTATGGGTTGGTGATCTGGTCAGTGTATCTTGTTACAAGCCCCATGAAGGGGCGGTCAGGTAGCCTAGTGGTTAAAGCATTCGCTTGTCATGCCGAAGACCCGGGTTCAATTCCCAACATGGGTACAATGTGTGAAGCCCATTTCTGGTGTCCCCCGCCATAATATAGCTGGAATATTGCTAAAAGCGGCGTAAAACCATAGTCACTCACTACAAGCCCCATGAAACCCCACATCGTGCCACAGACTGGTGATCTGGTCAGTGTATCTTGTTACAAGCCCCATGAAACCCCACATCGTGCCACAGATTGGTGATCTGGCAAGGATATCGTTGATGGCCCTGTTAAACTCTCTTCACTTTGTGAGTTCAACTTGACATGGGCCCCAAGCAGTTTACAACATTCTCAATCTGTGAGACAGTTCCCAAGGCATGAGTACCAGCTGAATTAACTGTTCAGCCCCTGAAGAACGATCACAAACAGGTGATGTACACAGACGCCAGTCAGGTCGAATTGCATCACGCCAAGGAGGAGATTCCTGAAGTTAGGTTTACCCTTTACAGCCGATCTAATTAGATATGTTTATTTCGGGAAAATTAGAATCCGCCTTGAGATGAGAGATTGATAGCCAGTTCGGGAAGTGGGCTTTTGGTGAAACATTTTTATTGAAAAGTTAAATATGTTGTGAGCTGTGGAGAGACATGTTTGTTATTATGTCAACATAGATTTTTGTTGAAGTTAAGTTTAGATTCGTGTCTGGAGACACATCTAGGAGAAAAGCATTTTCAGTCTTGTTTCACAAAGAAATAGCCGTCCTATACTGTGACTGGTCGTACCAGTGTGTGTTTTGTTCTTATACTGATATGTATTATTGTGAGTGGACCAGATCAGATATTTGCTTGATGTCAAAGGTTCTTCTAACTCAGGCATGATAGTGGCCATTATAATGCAAAGTTTTCCCCTTGTGTGTTGACTAAGATAATGTTATTCAGTTTGAACAAGAAAACAAGAAATCATCTGCTGTGTGAATCTAGATGTTTGATCTAGACTTGCTTAGGCTTTTAGTAAAAAATATATGTTGTCGGATCATAGGTTTTCGGACATCATACGTGTCCGGATGACCATCTTCCACAGTCACGGTGCGGGATTAGTGTATACTCGTGTATATTCGTGTATATTCATGTATACTCTCCAACCAGTGACTATGAGGAGCAGAAACTGGCATCATTCCCTAATCGCTGCCCCAGGCAGGGTGTATCCCATGACTGACTGAGGCTCGGGAGGCACAACCTGCAGCATTTACAGGGTGACGGTCGGGGCAAGGTCACTTCACACATTCCCACCACACTGAATCACTTGTGACTGGAATACCACACAATACCTACATACTGAGACCTCATGTTACATCAGCCCGCAGCCTCCGACAGATAACTCTCACACACTGTCATCCTAGAATCTCCATTGGAACCTGAGTCCTCCTGCCTACCAGGATGTCCATGAGATTTTTTTAAGATGAGATAATTTATTGTACATATACGCCTAAATTTAAACAAACATTTAGTCTATGAAATCTTATATTATTAAATATCCCTTCTTGATTCTAAAAATAATATTTACAAAATTTCCTTATGCAGGGTTAGAAACTAACAGTTTTTGTCCACTAGTCCTTATAATGATAACATATAGCAAAACCCTTTAAATGGGCCAATGACTACTAGTCCTTAGGATACCTTTACTATTGGGCAGTTTGGTAAGGACTACAGGACTAGTGCCAATTTCTAACACTGATTATGCTGAATAGAGCTAGCTAGAGCTGGCTAGACTTGCTTTTGAATACATTTCTAGATTTATTTACTTTTTCATGAAAGAAATATATTCCACAGTCATGGTGCTGGTCTACCCTAAAATAAAAGACCCAATAGACGAGACCATAGCCTTGCTCCAAGGCTGTACTGAATGGTGGATCCATTGGTGTATAGTAATTCTATCCTTATAATAGACAAGTCTAGACAGGTGGACAGTAAGGACTCAAGTGTCTTATAGGGACAACTTGTTCTTCTTAATTTAATCAAGAAATAATGATTTTAACTAATAGTTAATGCCTTACAGACTTCTGCAAGTCTAACTAGACCCGAGAGAGTAAATACATTGAATACCTAAAGAAAGCTGTTAACACCCAATATGAATGATAAAATGTGAGTAAATACCCAATGTTTAGAAAGTATCTTGCGCCCTGACCCACTAAGGGTATTAATAGTAAATATAATGCGCTAAATAATGGCACTTTTCTCAAACAACATTCTCACCTTCTCCGAACCACATTCAACCCATCTCAGACAACATTTGCACCACAACCCACATTCAACCCATTTGCACCATGACCCACATTCAACCCATTTGCTCCGTGATTCATATTCAACCCATTTGCACCACGACCCACATTCAACCCATTTGCTCCGTGATTCATATTCGATCCCCGGCCGCGTCATACCAAAAGACGTTAAAAGATGGTACTTGATGTTATCCTGTCTGGAGCTCGGCATTAAGGGGCTAAAACAAGGACTGGTCGGCTCGGAGTCAGTATACTGTGTCTGAGTGGGGTATTCATGTTAAACTGCAGCATGGTATCTCAGTCGTCTACCACTATAAATCGGCATTAGTCCGGACTAGTACAAGCAGCCACACACACACACACTCACGTGCATGCACGTCGCTATATAAGTGCAATAATCTTGGACGCGATGTTAAACCCAATTTCACCTCACCTCACCTTGTAATCACTTCCTGTAAACATTAACGGTCACGTCTTTCTTATCCATGGCTTTCCTTGTTTTCAGTTTGTGAACCCTGAGCAGCCCGGCTATGTGGGATTTGCAAATCTTCCAAACCAAGTTCACAGAAAGTCGGTGAAGAAAGGGTTCGAGTTCACACTTATGGTGGTTGGTGAGTATGTTTTCTGTTTATTAGCATGTTGGCATTATTAAAAGGGGCAGAAAAAATAGATATGTACGACACGAGCGATTACCCAAAAGATAATCCACTGCACAGCGTAGTAAATAAAAAGGTGTTAGGTAAGATGAAGGATGAATGTGCTGGGACCCCTATAGCGGAGTATGTCGGATTAAGACCTAAGATGTATTCTATAAAGAAGTCCGATAATGGGGAGATAAGAAAAGCTAAGGGCGTTAAGAAGTATGTTGTAAAAAAGCATATCAAACACGAACAGTATAAAGAATCATTATTCAACGGTAGAACGTTCAAACAGGAGATGAACTCTTTAAGAAGTTACAATCATAGGATGTATGGATTAAGAATGAACAAGACATCATTATCCTCCTTAGATACAAAGAGATGGATTGATAATGATGGTGTAACTACCTATGCTTATGGTTATGGTGGTAATACCGTACCGTCGGGAACTATGAACAACTCTTCTCGTACAAATGCCCTACCCGGTCCATCTTGAAGATAATAAAGAATAGGCTCTCCTTCTTTCGTAACCAATCGACTAATGTTATACGTCTTAAGGGACCATATGGGATTGGTTGCGCGACGTAGGCCTCCTTCGAGTTCACCTGCCTGGTATAAATATCTTACCCTTACTCTATCCGGAAGTTTTCGTTCTTTGCCTCTCCTCGGTGCTGAAGATTCGGAAGTCACGGATTTCATTTTAATAGCATCGGATGGTTTCTTCCCTATTAATCTCGTTACTTCATTATTCAGCGCTGATACAACGGCTGATAATCGTGTCACCCATTTGGTTGATCTCAATCGCTCGGATTTCATTTCGATCCCATACTGATAGCCAAACAAACGTTCCGCTAATGTCCTGTTAAATCTTTCGACGATAGCTTGACTGCGGTGGGCCTCTCTTTCACCACGCCTGATTTCGACATTGTGCTTTGTTAACAGTTTTGTTATCGATCGGATAAACTCGCAACCGGGATCTACTTGAAATAGCTTAGGCCATTTTAGCGGTCCGCGTTTATATATGCGACTCAGTGCATTAGCTACTTCTGTTGAATCTTTCGAGGTTAATGGCTCAGCCTCTTTGTATCGACTAACCACATCCACTACTGTTAAAGCGTATTTATACGTTTCGCGTTTTACCTTATCGTGGGAAAGAAACAAGAGGTCAGCCTGATGAACTTCATTCGTTGTAAAAATATCAATTTTTCTTCCTCGGTATATAACGCGGTGCCGGTAAATATATTTGCCACATCGCTTGTTTCTTTAACCAATCCTTGGCCACATCTTTAGATACCTTAGCCGTGGTGGCTAATTTTTTTATTGCTCCTACACCTTTCCAATATCCTCGTGGGCTATAGTAAATTTTATTCATTATTAATTAATATTGATATTTCTTTTAAAACGACTTTTGTTGAATCGCATCATCATTTTTATACTAATAGAAGCAATGATTGGCCCCAGGTATTGGTGAGCTGGAGCCAATTTAACTTAATCTCATGACTATCATTGAATCGCATAGTCATTTTGGCATAAAAAATGCCACCTGTAGTAGCGGTATAGGTATATAAATCCAGCTCCAGTGGAGTTGCGGCAGAACCCCTATTACCTATACTACTAAAGGAGGTCCCATTGCAAGGTATTTTGCATCATTATCTTTACGCCTATTTTGAATAGTTATTAACTGCCATGCCTTAAAGAATTCAGGTAAACGAACACATGATAATACACTTGATCAATAAAAATGTGAAATGAGTCCAAAAAAAACTCCAAAAAACTGGAGGGTTAATTTGTTCATGCGGGTTCTGAGCTTAAATTAACTCAGAAGTTTATTGTATGTCAGATTGTCACGGGAGGTAAGACTGTCATCAGAAGGCAGATTATCAACGTAAATGACATTATCATCTTGTAAACATCAGATTATCATCATGTTGTCATCAGATTATCATTGTAAGTCAGATTATCATCGTGTGGACATCATGTTATCGTAAGTCAGATTATCATCGTACATAACATTGTCCAATAAGTCCGCTGCTTGGGCAGGGTTTGGGAGTCTTAGGGATCACAAACTCCGCTGTGTAACAAAAATACTCAAGTCAGCATATCTCCATGACATGATTTGTTCCTCTCACTACTGACCTCTGGGTTGTCTGATCCAGGCCAGATTTGGGGGAGTCTGGTTTAGTGAGGTGTGTATTTCATGTCACTGTTTTGTTTACAGGGAAGTGTGGTTTAGCGAGGGGTGTATTACATGTCACTGTTCTGTTTATAGGGGAGTCTGGTTTAGCGAGGTGTGTATTGCATGTCACTGTTCTGTTTACAGGGGAGTCTGGTTTAGGGAAGTCCACACTAGTCAACAGCTTGTTCCTGACAGACTTGTACCCAGAAAGACACATACCCTCCGCAGCAGGTAAGCCCATGAAGATGTTTCTAATAAACAGCAGGACATGTTCATCAACGAAGCTAGCAAATGATGAACTGTATATTTAACTCTCACTCACCAATTATCCACCCCTTGTTCATTCTCTCACTGAAACACCCATCCACCAACTCAACTCATTCGGGGGCACGGGTGGCCCAGTCGTCTGAAGTGCCATGATTCGCTGTGCAGAGTTGCATCCCTTGGGCATGCCAGAAACCTATGATTGTGGATTCAAATCCCGGTTCTACCCGATTAAGTTTCTAGGTTTCTCAGCACCATACCCGTGCTGGTGGGTTTCACCGAAGCGGTAAACGTCTGAGACCTGCATCACTTCGGGCTTTCCTCCCACATTAAGCTGACATGCCGTGATATAACTGGAATAGTGTTAAAAAAGCAGCATTAAACTCAACTCACTCACTCACTGAACTCATTCCTCACTCACTGACCTACCCACCCCAGACCAAACCAATCACTCACAGTGAAAATGAAGAGTATCCCCAAATCACAAATCAATTTCCCTGACCAATGACTTGCTGTGCAATAAAGGAGCTGTAACTTGATGCACTCAGTATTTAGTTAAACCATGTTCAATATGTGACCAGCAGTAATTGTATGCATCCTTGAGATGTCTTTGTTTCATAGGTATTGATCATGTGCCCGGCTTGCTGCTTGGCCAGTGCAAGATGACGGCCCTCAGGGTACCACTGTCTGAGTTCTGCAGCAGTGGGTAATCAAACATGCTGAATGACCATCTGCTGGCATAGACTTGTAATTTGTGGTTAGGAAATCAGTATTCTCTCAGTCCAAGACGATGGCCATGGAATACCACTGTTTGATTGACTGCTGTAATAGTTAATCAAACTGATCCTTGCACAATGACTTACCATCTGCTGGCAAACACTTGTAATTTGTGGTTAGGAAATCAGTATTCTCTCAAGGTCATGGTGACATTAAGTTATAAATATGCAATGGATGAATGGTATTGATTAACGGTGAGAAAAGATTTAATTGTACAGCTTCTCAGTCTGCTACAGTGAAAAGAAATGATTCATCTTGACTGTTTGTACTTCAAGAGTGACTAATAACTCACGGCGTTGACTAAGCGGTGTCAAAAATAGCTTATGATCACAGCAAAGCGTAGTATTCCCATTGGATGTGTGAATCATACTATACCATGCTTGAAGGCAAAGGTTTTTGTTTGTTTATTCTTAAATTCAGCACTCAGCAATATTGCAGCTATATATGACGGCGGTCTGTAAATAATCAAGTCTGGACCAGACAATCCAGTGATTGACGTGAGCATCAATCCACACAATTGGGATAAGATGACATGCACCAGCCAAGTCGGTGAGCCTGACCACCCGATCACGTTAGTCGCCTCTTACAACAAGCTACAATGTGTGAAGCCCATTTCTGGTGTCCCCCGTCGTGATATTGCTGGAATATTGCTAAAAGTGGCGTAAAACCATACTCACTCACTCACTTACAACAAGCATGGGTTGGTGAAGATCTTCACTGGGGTGTACTGGGATCATATGGTTCTATTGATAACTGAAAATTTATAATTTCCGAGATTGATCAATATTGTTGCCGGTACCACGGACCTATACAAGTCCGTGCCGGTACACAATAAACAAGCTGTCAGTACAGTGTTGTGTTTGTATGTAGTGGGTCAACAAAAAACTCGGACTCCCTTTCAGATTGTTTTAAGTCCCTGTAAAGTCGAATAAAACTATCAAGACATTTCACCATAAATTGTGCAACATAGAAAAACAAGTGCCAGGTAGAATTGAAATAAATGTATTGATTTTGTTTGAATTTTTGTTTATGAAAACTAAACAATATTGGTAAGCCTAGAGTGTAAAGACAGATCAAGTAAACACCAACCCACTTCAGAGAGTTACAAAAAGAATTCCCAAATCACACTGTGATAAATGAGAAGATAAAAAAGATGTTAGTCTTGAGTATATACTGTCAAAATCTCTCCTACCGACTCCTGAAACACAAATATCAGAAATACCAAGCAAGCCCATCATACATTTGCAAGTCTAGATTGCTTCAGATATTCTCAGGGCCCCTTTCTGTTATATATTAAAAAGGCAGTTTTTTGCAAAAACAATCTTAAAATACTATTATCTTAGTGACTAACTGTTAGTCTCATATTGTCTGTGTTGTATTAATTTATAAACAGATTAGAAACCAACTCTAAATAAACTTTTCATCTGAGAAAAAAAATTTGCTAGGTCCTATTATGTCTTAGTGATTTGATAATTAATTTGCTGGAAGTTTGATCAGGAAGTGCCTGCCAAATGAACAATGACGTACATGCACATTCAGGAGAGTAAAGCTTGTTGTTGGTCTGATCCCATGTAACTATAAACCAGATGTTTAATTATACCCACCAGACAAGGATTAGGTGACTATAAACAGACTGCACCCTGTGCCCACCAGAACACGTCCTGTACACAAGGTTGATAATAAGTTGATTTTGTTGCTGTAGGCTGATGTGTTTGCCTAACTCCATGTAGGATGCACTGTATCTCGGGGTCATGTGTTTCCTTATTTGTGACCTAGAAAAATAGGATCCTTTTTGATAGCAGTTCACAAGTCTATCTGACATGGAACCATTGAAATGACCAAGTGTGATTAAGCATACGAATAGCTAATATTGTGTGAATAACAATCTTTACATTTCTCAAATAATTTTATTGGTGATTTGGTTTTTTTTGGCTCTTTTCTTTTAAATTTTCAATCATTGGAAGAAATAAAGCGAATATATAGATAAAAAAAAAGTTAGGGATCATGATTATATTGAGGGTGGGGATACGTTTTTCAAATGAAGATTGAGCACACAATTTCACAAAAAATATCCCTCAAAATATTCATGATCCATAACTTATTTTGTTCGGTATCTGTATGGAGGGTGTTCTCCCTGTCCGGAGAGTGGTTGTATGATTGAAGTTAGACTTGCTCAAGTCTATAAGCCAATAATTATTAGTTTAAATTTCTAGATTATATAAATAAAAACAACAAGTTGTCCCTATAAGAGACTGGAATGTTCTAGACTTGCCTAATAGGAGGATTGAATTACTTCACATCCATGGACTTATCTTTCAGTACAGCCTTGGAGCAAGGCTAGATTGAAGTGTGTTCAGGGAATAAGTGTGATCAAGTTCCCAATCAGTGGCTCAGTAACCTGAGAACCTCTCACTGCCGAGGCTTGATTGGTTATAAAGACTTCTGTACATTGTGGCCGACAGCAACTGTTGTTGTATGGAGACAGGTTAAGTCGGGGTCAATCAATGCCATGTTTTTGTATAGCTCTTTAACTGTGGCATTGTTACACATTTGCGTTATTGACTTTCTCGTTCACAAGTGTTCAACCAGATTATATCTTTGGGTAGATTTATCTGCATTCATTCTCAGTGCAGCTGAAAGGGTTGTTGTCACACTAGACTAACACTTAGTCAATGAAAACATGTCTTTAAAATAATTTTTTAAAATTTCTTAAGAACCTTTCCTCTTCTGCTGTTTTCATGTGGAATCAAGCAAACTAGACTTGCTTAGTTTGATCTACACTTGCCTAGGCTTTTTGTAAAAAAATTACCTAAAAAATATAAATTCCACAGTCATGATCCAGGACTATTGTCGCACGGGTACTACAGATGTGTACCCCAGGTACATTTCTGTATTCAGAAATGTACCCTAGCCCAAATCAGACTGCAGAAAGGTACGCATTGACTCATGACCTCACTCCTGAGGGAGATATGTACCTAAGGAGGTGTATCAGGCCAAACCTGTGAAGTACTGGGTGGCTCTAGCTGGCTATCGGCAGCATCTGAACATGCCGTGATCATCAGTGTCACTGACCAGGGGGCAGTGATGTCTGACTGTAATTACAGACTGCCTCTCCTCCACCATCTGCTGCATGCTGTGTCCCCCTCAGCTTCTCTACAACCTTGGTGATGGGTATTAGCTCGTCCTGCACCATAGCTGTGGAATATATTTTTTTTAGGGAAAAAAACACAATCTAGAATTGTATACAAAAGCAAGTCTAGCCAGCCCAAATCAGCTTCGGGAAAATTACTTTTTGTATTTTTGGAGTCAAGAAGGGCATTGTGTAATAGGATTTCATAGACTAAATGTTAGTCTAGGTATTGGCCTGAAGTTGGTGTTGCAGTTTTCTACAATAATGATTCATGTATTGTGATATGTACCACAACATATCGCATGCGTTCCTTCGTCTGTATTTAGTGATGAACCTGAATGGAGAAAAAAACTTCCTTCGCTCATTTTTTACAACTTTTTATTTTGTTGGATGTTGCTATGGTCACTATGTATGCATAATAATAGACACCTGATATACAGGAAACTGGTCACAAATAGTTCCGCCTTTTCAATCACAGGAAACAGTTGCTATTTTCTTAATTTCATAATTTTTCGTCTGATATGTCAATTTCGTATAAAAAAAATTCCAACAGAATGAAGATATGCATGCATGAAACTCAATGTACCAATATTTTCCAAATGTATTGTGGTACATATTCATTAGTATTTCATACCATGGTATACCGGTGATACTGCACACCTCTATACAGTTTAGTGCTCTTTGTTTATCAGTCTAGTATACAAGGGGATCTGGTCAACCATTAATTCATTTCAAACAAAGACTTTGGGTGCTATTTCAATAATGTCACGGTGTCAAACATACTGTTTGTATATCCGGAGTAAGATTTATTGCCAAGTCAGGAACTTACAGTCTGACGTGTTAACAACTTAGGAATAACAAAATTGCAGGGAATATTATGTTGTTAGATTCTCCACTGAAAGGTTGTTACAACTGCAGAGTAAAATCAAGTTGGTAACCTTATCATTTGACATATCCACTTCATATGTCTACAGCAACCCATGCTTCCCATAACAGGCGACGGGGGCACGGGTGGCCCTGTCGTCTAAGGCGCCACGATTCGCTGTGCAGAGTTCCGTCCCTTGGGCATACCAGAAACCTATGATTGTGGATTCGAATCCCGGTTCGCCCCGATTATGTTTCTAGGTTTGTCAGCACCATACCCGTGCTCATGGGTTTCACCAAAGTGGTAAACGTCGGAGACCTGCATCACTTCGGGCTTTCCTCCCACATTAAGCTGACCCGCCGTGATATAACTGGAATACTGTTAAAAGCGGCGTTAAACCCAACTTACTCACTCATAACAGTCGACTATGCTTGTTGTAAGAGGCGACTAACGGTATCTGGTGGTCAGGTTCGCTGACTTGGTTGATGCATGTTATCGCATCCCAGTTGCGTAGATCGATGCTCATGATGTAAATTACTGTATTTTCTAGACCAGACTCGATTATTTACAGAACGCTGTCATATAGCTGGAATATTGCTGAGTGCTGCATTAACAGAACAACAGACAAAAAAATAATTAAAAGGCACATGCTAACCATCTTAGACATTTTGAGTAACCTATGCTTGTCATTACTGCAGGGGATTATGTGGATCAGGTGGTCAGACTTGATGACTTGGTAGATTGCAAATCCATGTGGCATTGTCATAGTACTTCTGTGGTGTATGATGTTGCTCATATTATCAATCACTGGTTTGTCTCAACTGGATTTTTAACAGGCTTCCATGATATAGCTTGAAAATGCTGTGTGTGGTGTTAAATAGTCTGCCATACAGACCCTGAAACAAGTATATCCAATAGAGCCCATGCAAGTCTAGAATAGTTGGCAAGTCTAGATTACTGTCATACAGACCCTGAAACAAGTATATCCAATACAGCCCATGCAAGTCTATAATAGTTGGCAAGTCTAGATTACTGTCATACAGACCCTGGAACAAGTATATCCAATACAGCCCATGCAAGTCTATAATAGTTGGCAAGTTTAGATTACTGTCAGACAGACCCTGAAACAAATATATCCAATACAAGTCTATAATATTTGGCAAAATGAAGAAAGTCTCTGGGATCCTTTTTATTATGTTTTATAACTAAAATGTACCAACTATTTTTTTTCTGTAAAGTATGTTTATTTCAGAGACTTGATGTTAGTCTAGGTGTTCAACACCAAGGTTATTTACTGGGACGGTCTGAGATATACAGTATTGCCTGTGATGTTTCAGGCATTATTCCAGACAAGTACAAGCAGACAAACATACACACGCAGTGTTAAACCACATTCCCCCTCACCTGAAGCAAATATCACTCTTAAACGCAGTCCTAGAAGTTTGCAGGTGATGTGGATTGTTTTGAGGGGAAAAAACAATGGAGCAATATTTTTGTTTTGACATTTGTCTGCCTTGTCTGTATCAACGTGTGCCAGCCAGCCTGCATGTGTTGAAGACTGGCATGTTCAACAGCAGGTGCTTGGTTCACTAGATAGTCTCGCATTCCTTCACACCTGTGTAAACCCTAGGTGTCGGGGATCAGTTACAGTTTAGTTCCAACAGCCTGCTGTACTGGTTGATGATATTACTGGAAATAGTTTAGTCTACATCTAGTATTGGAAATGAACACATTTTATGCAAAAGAACCCAGTTGTTAAATTATCTTAATAAAATATAATAACAAAGAGCCAAGAGACTTTCAGAACTTCAGTAATCTAGAATTGCAAGGGCTGTATTGGGTATATTTGTTTCAGGGTCGTAGAGCTGGGACGGGTAACTCAGGTACCGGGGTCCGATGGGTACTGAGTAGGACCTGGGTACCCACAGGACTACCTGGACCTGTGGTTAGTCACGTGATATATTGTCTAATGACTAAAATTATCTGTAACTCTATGGTTACACTACAAGTCACTAATGTTTGCTTTTCATATGATTGAATAAGCATATAACTTAAGTCAACTTCAGTGTATGCATGACCAGATTGTTTAATACATGTATCAAAATACGTTTTGCCAGGGCTATGCTAAAAAAGTTCCCAGTCGCATTTTGATATATCTCCTGATATCTCCTGATATCACCCGGGTAGGGTCGGGTAATAGGGGGGCGGGTACCTGGGTAGGGTCGGGTAAAAGGGGGAGGGTACCTGGGTAGTAGATTTGGACTCGTCCCATCCCTACAGGGTCTGTATGACAGACTAGACATATTTGTACTCCTATGAAAAATGCAGAAAGTATGAAAATAAAACAATCTAATACCCTCTTCCACCCATAGCTCTGTCCTGTTCACAGCCACAGTCCAGTCAATATTGACCAGATTGTAGATTATTGTGACACAATCTAAGTTCCTGTTATACTGGCTAGACACCAGATTTGTTTGTTTGTGATATGATGCCTTGTGTTAAAAGTGGTTGGGGAAACTGGAATTTTCCACACGTTACTGACCTGCTGACAGTTTTATTGCAATACAAGATCCTTCTAGATGTGGACATTTTGCGAACATTTCACTGGAGTATTTAGCCCAGTCTGATTCCGTTCCTTGTTTTATTGATTTTCAATATGCTCACACAGGCATGAGGCAATAAATTTCTGACATACTCACAAAATTTGACAAAAGTGTAAAAAAAAATCATTTTAATGAAAACACAGCTTATTCCATTTAATATCCTGGTTGTTTTGGTTTTTTTTGCGAAATTTGCTATGACTTCTACTGGAAAACAATTGAACCGTGATGTGTCGATAAACAATGAACCGTGATGTGAATAGCTTGTCTTCATCATAGATTTAACTTTCATCTCTTTAAGTCCAAGATTTGTTTGTTTTTCTGTTGTTTAACACTGCACTCAGCAATATTCCATCTATGTGATGGTGGTCTAAATCATGTCTGGACCAGACAATCCAGTGATTGACATCATGAGCATCGATCCACGCAATTGGGATACGATGACATGCATCAACTAAGTCAGTAAGCCTGACCACCTGATCCCATTAGTTGCAGCTCACAACAAGCATAGTCGCCTTTTACGGCAAGCATGGGTTGCTGAAGACCTATTCTAACCCATATCTTCACGGGTCTTAAGTTTGAGAAACACATTAGACATTTCCTTAAGATTTAGGAGTAAGTTTGATTTGACAGGTCAGTTAAGCCATATCTGTAAAAGAATTGAACAGATAAAATGTCCCAATTCTTTTCTTGTTTGTGTCCTGCCCCTATTCATGCCCTTTTTGCTTGATTTCAGAAAAAGTCCCGCAAACTGTAAAAATCGATGCTTCGACAGTGGAAATCGAGGAACGGGGTGTGAAGCTGAGGTTGACTGTTGTGGATACGCCAGGATTTGGAGACTCCTTAAACTCACAAGACTGGTTGGTATAGGGGAGCTAGCCTCTCTTACAGACCCCAGAATACTCCATACCAATGTCATCCCCTTCTCGGCTCTATGCTCATGCCCTTCTTACGCTCTTTCCAACATAATGTTGTTGATCAAGTTAAGTCTGTTTCACTGTCCGATGCTGAATTGTTGTTGTAGGTCTTAGTATGTGCTCGTGTGTTACAGCTTCCGACCAATCATCCAGTATGTTGACGACCAGTTTGAGAGGTATCTACAAGACGAGAGTGGGCTGAACAGAAGGCACATCGTCGACAACCGCGTCCACTCCTGCTTCTACTTCATCAACCCTTCAGGACATGGGTAGGTGTCAATGTCCTTAAATGACCTTCAGGACATGCCCTCCTTCCTAAATGGACATATTTATACACGCCAAAACAGCTAATCCTAAACAATGCTGAACTAGATTTATGCACTTGAGAACATTTTTGTTTCTGCATGTATTGACTTTGGCATTTCTCATTGCAGATTGAAACCTCTCGACATATCTTTTATGCGGGCACTCCATCACAAGGTCAACATCGTCCCTGTAATAGCTAAAGCTGACACGCTCACAAAACAGGAAGTGTTAACTCTCAAGCGACGGGTAAGGGAACAGAGAGGGTTTCCGCCATCTTGATGTTAGACCAGAATATTTTTGAGAGAGGATGTGCAAAGTTTGGAATTCACTGGAGGTGAAGTGGTGTACTTGACACTTTCCATAACCATCTGCAGTGATGTGGCAATTTAGTCTGCTTTGTTTTGATGTGATGTCAAAACATGTGGTGACACTCGGGGCACGTGACTTAGTTCAGCTGCTCCTCTGTTAACCCAGCAGGGAATGGGTACTAGGGCTGGGACGGGTAACTCGGGTACCCGTTTCGGGTGGGTACTGAGTAGGACCCGGGTGCCCAAAGGACTACCCGGACCTCTGGTTAGTCACGTGATATATTGTTTCATGACAAAAATTCACTAAATAACTACATGGTTACACGACAATATCAAGTCTCTAATGTTCGCATTTCTTCATGACTATGAACACGTTCCTTCTGACTTATATATGTTTGAACAAAGCCAAAACTTCAGTCAACTTCAGTGTATGCATGACCACATCGTTTTATACGTGTATCTAAAACATTCTGCCAGGGCTACTGTCAAACTATTCCCAATCGGACATTTGAACCTATCTCTTGACACCAACAGCGGGTACCTGGGTAGGGTTGGGTAATAGGGATGTGGGTACCCGGTTAGTAAATTTGGACTCGTCCCAGCCCTAATGGGTACCCGATATGTGAGGTGGATGTAAAAACCCTCTAGTGCCTGCAGCCGGCAGCTTGGATTGTATACTTCCCAGGGAGTTGAGAATGATGCATGTAACTAGGATGCAGACGGATCCACTGTTTGGGAAACAAATGTAGACTGTATTTGAGCGGAGATGTTTGGACAAGGGCATATATACATATAATCCTTACATAATAGTACTTTCAACAGCAGCTGTACATTCATTTATTTGAGGGGAGAAGGGTAATGATGGGAATTCTTTGAAACGTCATGATGATTGGATTGTCCTAACTAGTCAATCATCAAAATTAATGAGTTTGTTTATTTTTATTTTTTTAATGTTTATTTCATAAAAAGTTAATTAAAAAAAGAACACAAATAGGTACTTCAGCCTACTTACTTTATGTTTCAAGTTCCTCACTTTTTATCTCCCAGTACAAAGTAGTCATTGAATCTTCTCTGATCGATGCTTATGATGTACTGGATTATCTGGTCCAGGCTCGGTTAATTACAGACCGCCATCCTACAGATGAAATATTGCTGAGTGCAACGTTGAACAACAAACAAAAAAATAGACAAAGTTATATCAGGGTTGATGGAGGTTGCTGGAGTGTTAATGATCGATTGTGGGAAGTTGTGTTTGATCTTTTATACCTTCAAATTCTTTCAATTATACGGAACACCACTAGCGAAAGGGTAGCCTAGAGGCTGAAGTATTTGCGAATCACGTAAACCTGGCTTCAATTCCCTTCATGGGTTCAATCTGCTCATTCCTGCATCCTCTTTTGTGATATGGCCGGAATATTCCTCCTGCTTGGAAAATATCCACTTACTATTTATTTCGTCAATATCTTAAAATAATATATATACAATGTTATCATATTATATAAAATGATATAAATTATTATAAAATGATATAAAATATTATCAGATGGTATACAATGTTATAAAATAAAATGAAATAGTGTAAAATGATATAAAATATTATCAGATGATATAAAATATTATTTGATGGTATACAATGTTATAAAATAATATGAAATAGTATAAGATGGTATGCTATAAAATATTATAAAATGGTATAAAATATTATAAAATGGTATAAAATAGTATAAAATAGTATAAAATAGTACAAAATAGTACAAAATAGTACAAATAATATACAATACTATGTTGTCAGTTTCATTGTTTCACGCTCATGTAAATCATGAAGTGATTAAAAACTGCACGTAGAAGGCTGTGACTGGTAAACCAGTTAAGTAATGTAGCCATGTTTCATTGAAGTGCATTGAAGTAGACAACATGTCAGCTAGATATGGATGGTTCTCACAGGTCAAGTATATGTAAGTGGTTTCTAGGAATCATGTCCTGGGGAAAACATTTCCTTCAACACAGCAAGCTGTCGATATTTGTGGCTATATCCTTCCTTCCTGACAGGAAGCATGTTCTCATGTAGACCTGGTTAGTTTTGGCTACATAAAGTTACATATCCTTGTCATGGGTCAATCAAATATGTCTCTCCTGAAGTGAGTGAGTTAACGTTTTGCACTGCATCGGCAATATGCATGGTGTATTCAGTGAATTACTTAATTGACACTGATCATTCACTATTTCTGTTGCCCGTGAAGATTCCGGGGTAGAATAGGTCTTCAGCAACCCATGCTTGCCGTAGAAGGTGACTATGCTTGTCGTAAAAGGCAACCAACGGGATCGGGTGGTCAGGCTCGCTGACTTGGTTGATACATGTCATCGATCCCAATTGCGTGGATCGATGCTCATGATGTCAATCACTGGATTGTCTGGTCCAGACATGATTATTTTACAGACCGCCATCATATAGCTGGAATATTGCTGAGTGCGGCGTTAAACAACAAACAAACAAACACAATTTCTGTTATGAAAGTCACAGATTACAAATGGCTACGGCACTTTTTGGTGCTATCATCTGCCATCAAGGTCTGGAAAGTTGCTTTGAAATTTTTCTCATTGAGCCAAAAACACTAATGGACCAAACAAGGCCTCATCAGGAACAAGCAGTGAGGATCACCGCTGTTTAACTCAGTCTGTAGGCTAATAGTATTGAAGAATCGGACCAGAGACAACATAAAGGGTGCACATTACGATTAAGATATGAGTAATCTTCTCGGCTGTGCCTCATTGACAAAGGAATTTCATCCTTATTCTACACAAATATCCAATATTCACAGAACTCCTTAGACTAACATTTAGTCCAAGAAATAAAGAAATAAATAATTCCAGGCCTAGAGCTGAGGCAATCTAGACTTGCCGCAGTAGAAACTAACATTTTTGGTCCACTAGTCCTTTTAATGATAATGTAATATAATAATATAACTCGTCCTTATGATACCATTAATATTGGGAAGGACTAAAGGACTAGTGTCAATTTCTAACGCTGACTTGCCAAATCATTCTAGACTTGAGTTGGATTCCCTGTTATTTGTTCTCTATGGTATGGGAGACAGACTTAGAGCTCCTGTATGAAGCTGGTGAATCGTGTTGATTATCCCTCAGCTGATGATGTCATCCAGGCTATCACAGTGACCCAGGCAGGCAGCGTGTTGACTGTGTAATGTGATGGCAATAACTCTCCATGGGGGCTGTTATCATCCTTACTGAGAGCCTCCTGGTTAGATAGCGGCCATCTTCCCTGGCCATGTGGCCTGGAGTGTTCATGAATGGTTTCTTCAATGTTTGTCTGTTATCTGCAAGGATTCTCTGTTAGTCTTATCTCATGCTTGTAGAGTAGGCATGGACAAATAAAAGCACATCATTCAATAAGGTTCTGTTTACTTAAGTTGAGCCCCATTCAAATTGTTTAACATAATTTTTATTCCTGATACCATATTCGACGTAATAAGCGCCCCACTCTAATAAGCGCCCATGGCGATATTTGCCAATATATTGGCTAGTGATCCATTCCAATTAGCAACCTTCCGATTGATCAGTGTACACAAGACATATTTATTCTTGTATAATACGTATGTTATATGCCCCCTTAATTATGGGAAATTAAATTCCGGAAAAATATATCTGTCGAATATAAACATTTCAGGCTGTCAGCATAAACCACGAAATGTACGATATTTCAACTTTCTAATAAGAGCCCCCATTTCTAATTTTGAGAGCGCCCATTATGTCGTATACGGTAATAGGAATGGTAGAAATAACTAGATATGCTACTTAAAGAAGGTTAAGGACGACTCGATTCTTTCATATTACTGTACTTAATCTGTCATGCCAGGACTTTTTTGAGTAGTATACTTTTGCTGAAACTCAGAGGCACTTTACACAGATAATTAGATTGTCTGTCTTAGATTCTTTAGAAGTGATACACATAAGGAAGAGAATTTGTGGATGTCTACTTCTTTATTATGAGGAACACAATGTTTCAGAGTACCGGGTATATACTTACTCCTTCATCATGGGATGAATATTCCAGCACTATCCAGAAGGGTCACCAGAAGTGGGCTTTACACATTGTCCCCATGTGGGGAATCTAACCTGGGTCTTCGGCGTGACGAGCAAACGCTTTAACCACAAAGCTACCCCAACACCCTTGGTCATGTGAAAACATTGAGTCCTTTTACGTCTCTGGATTAGTGTATTTACAAGTACATGGTTTGTCTCGAATAGTAGTTATCTCCTATCCAATTAACCGATGATGTTGAGCCTGAATGCCTTCTGTTTCTGGTTGTTGTTTGGCTGAGAGTGCCCCTGTTAATGTGGATTGTATTGTTGCAGATCTTGGACCAGATAGATGAGAATGGGATCAACATCTACCCCCTGCCTGACTGTGACTCGGATGAGGATGAGGACTACAAGGAACAGTGTCGACAGCTCAAGGTCAGTGTTGCAGGTGCCCCTTTTGGCTTCAGCTGTTGTCCTGGGGGGGCGGGGGAATCTCCCCTTGGGGATTCTTGGGCATTCTTGGCCCCTTGTACCGATGCACTTGCATCTCCCTAGTCTCTCCGAAACAGAAAGCGTCCCCAGTACGCCATGCTAGTCTCTCCCTCATCACTCCGGGACAGAACAGTTCCCCAGTACACCATGCTAGTCTCTCCCTGATCACTCCGGGACAGAACAGGTCCCCAGTACACCATGCTAGTCTCTCCCTGATCACTCCGGGACAGAACAGGTCCCCAGTACACCATGCTAGTCTCTCCCTGATCACTCCGGGACAGAACAGTTCCCCAGTACACCATGCTAGTCTCTCCCTGATCACTCCGGGACAGAACAGTTCCCCAGTACACCATGTTAGTCTCTCCCTGATCACTCCGGGACAGAACAGTTCCCCAGTACACCATGCTAGTCTCTCCCTGATCACTCCGGGACAGAACAGGTCCCCAGTACACCATGCTAGTCTCTCCCTGATCACTCCGGGACAGAACAGGTCCCCAGTACACCATGCTAGTCTCTCCCTGATCACTCCAGGACAGAACAGGTCCCCAGTACACCATGCTAGTCTCTCCCTGATCACTCCGGGACAGAACAGGTCCCCAGTACACCATGTTAGTCTCTCCCTGATCACTCCGGGACAGAACAGGTCCCCAGTACACCATGCTAGTCTCTCCCTGATCACTCCGGGACAGAACAGGTCCCCAGTACACCATGCTAGTCTCTCCCTGATCACTCCGGGACAGAACAGGTCCCCAGTAAACCATGTTAGTCTCTCCCTGATCACTCCGGGACAGAACAGGTCCCCAGTACACCATGCTAGTCTCTCCCTGATCACTCCGGGACAGAACAGGTCCCCAGTACACCATGCTAGTCTCTCCCTGATCACTCCGGGACAGAACAGGTCCCCAGTACACCATGCTAGTCCCCCCTGATCACTCCGGGACAGAACAGGTCCCCAGTACACCATGTTAGTCTCTCCCTGATCACTCCGGGACAGAACAGGTCCCCAGTACACCATGTTAGTCTCTCCCTGATCACTCCGGGACAGAACAGGTCCCCAGTACACCATGCTAGTCTCTCCCTGATCACTCCGGGACAGAACAGGTCCCCAGTACACCATGCTAGTCTCTCCCTGATCACTCCGGGACAGAAAAGTTAAGTTCCCCAGTACACCATGCTAGTCTCTCCCTGATCACTCCGGGACAGAACAGGTCCCCAGTACACCATGCTAGTCTCTCCCTGATCACTCCGGGACAGAACAGGTCCCCAGTACACCATGTTAGTCTCTCCCTGATCACTCCGGGACAGAACAGGTCCCCAGTACACCATGCTAGTCTCTCCCTGATCACTCCGGGACAGAACAGGTCCCCAGTACACCATGCTAGTCTCTCCCTGATCACTCCGGGACAGAACAGGTCCCCAGTAAACCATGTTAGTCTCTCCCTGATCACTCCGGGACAGAACAGGTCCCCAGTACACCATGCTAGTCTCTCCCTGATCACTCCGGGACAGAACAGGTCCCCAGTACACCATGCTAGTCTCTCCCTGATCACTCCGGGACAGAACAGGTCCCCAGTACACCATGCTAGTCCCCCCTGATCACTCCGGGACAGAACAGGTCCCCAGTACACCATGTTAGTCTCTCCCTGATCACTCCGGGACAGAACAGGTCCCCAGTACACCATGTTAGTCTCTCCCTGATCACTCCGGGACAGAACAGGTCCCCAGTACACCATGCTAGTCTCTCCCTGATCACTCCGGGACAGAACAGGTCCCCAGTACACCATGCTAGTCTCTCCCTGATCACTCCGGGACAGAAAAGTTAAGTTCCCCAGTACACCATGCTAGTCTCTCCCTGATCACTCCGGGACAGAACAGGTCCCCTGTACACCATGTTAGTCTCTCCCTGATCACTCCGGGACAGAACAGGTCCCCAGTACACCATACTAGTCTCTCCCTGATCACTCCGGGACAGAACTGGTCCCCAGTACACCATGCTAGTCTCTCCCTGATCACTCCGGGACAGAATTGGTCCTCAGTACAGCATGCTAGTCTCTCCCTGATCGATCCGGGACAGAACAGGTCCCCAGTACACGATGCTAGTCTCTGCTTGATCACTCCGGGACAGAATAGGTCCCCAGTACACCATGCTAGTCTCTCCCTGATCGATCCGGGACAGAACAGGTCCCCAGTACACCATGCTAGTCTCTGCTTGATCACTCCGGGACAGAATAGGTCCCCAGTACACCATGCTAGTCTCTGCTTGATCACTCCGGGACAGAACAGGTCCCCAGTACACCATGCTAGTCTCTGCTTGATCACTCCGGGACAGAACAGGTCCCCAGAAAACCATGCTAGTCTCTCCCTGATCACTCCGGGACAGAACAGGTCCCCTGTACACCATGCTTGTCTCTCCCTGATCACTCCGGGACAGAACAGGTCCCCAGTACACCATGCTAGTCTCTCCCTGATCACTCCGGGACAGAACAGGTCCCCAGTACACCATGCTAGTCTCTCCCTGATCAATCCGGGACAGAACAGGTCCCCTGTACACCATGCTAGTCTCTCCCTAATCAATCCATATTTTGTATATGCCCCGGTGTATAACATACGTATTGCCCAGCCAGTGGTATTGCGCAGGTAATGTCTGATTGTCTCTTCATTCTCTGCCCAGAGATTGGAAGGTCGGTTGTTCAATCCCTGGCCACGTCATACCAAAAGATGTTAAAGATGGTAATTGATGTTGCCCAGCCTGTTACACCCACACACCACCTCTGCCTTCTGAAATAATTATGTTTAGTCTTTATTGGTCAACCATTTTCAGTCAGGAGTGGAATAGAGAGTACAAAGAATAATTGAATATGTGCTTATAAAGAAATTCATGCTGTTAAAAGAGCGTACACTGTCAGAATTTGATGTTCACAAATCTCTTTTTGTTTCTGTAATTTTAGCAAGCTGTTCCGTTCGCCGTTGTTGGTGCTAATACAATTATCGAGGTTAAAGGTCGCAAGGTCAGGGGTCGCATGTACCCCTGGGGAGTTGTGGAAGTGGAGAACCCGGAACACTGTGATTTTATTAAACTTAGGACCATGCTCATGTAAGTGTTGGACCCTCCCCAGAGACAGGACCCGTGAAGTTCAGGGTTAGAATAGGCCTTCCGCAACCCATGCTTGCCATAGGAGGAAACAATGCTTGTCATAAGAGGCGATTAACAGGATTGGGAGGTCAGACTTGCTGACTTGATTGATGCATGTCATTGTATCAGAATTGCCTTGATCATAGCTCATAATGTCAATCACTGGATTGTCAGCTAAAGATGTGATTATTTACAGACTGTTGTTACAGCTGGAATATTGCTGAACAAACAAACAAAATCAGATAGGTGCTACCCTGGAAACTTTTCATCTATGATGATCACTCATAGCTTTGTAAGCTTACCTGTTCATCTAATCATACTAGCATCATAAGTCTTCTTTCAAGGGATGATATTGTCACTTGAAGAATTATTTTTGGAAATTTAGCGTGTATAGTGTTAATAGGCCAAATGGAGTTGCTAGACATGTCAGAGTTTTCCTTGGTAATTTCTGAATTTGTTTTAACCTTAAATTGCTGCAAACATCTATACCCAGCAGAGTTATGTCCCTTGGTAATTTCGGAATTTTGTAGTATCCTGACATTGTTGCAAACGTCTATACCCAACAGAGTTATGTCCCTTGGTAATTTCGGAATTTTGTAGTATCCTGACATTGTTGCAAACGTCTATACCCAACAGAGTTATGTCCCTTGGTAATTTCGGTATTTGGTAGTATTTTGATATTGTTGCACACACATATGTATCTGTCTTCCCTTCCAGAACACATATGCAAGATTTACAGGAAGTTACACAAGAAATTCACTACGAGAACTTCCGAGCAGAAAGGTTAGCCACAGGTGGTGCACAGAAACGAGTCAAGTATGTATGCATGGCCTTTGGCTGTTCCCCACACCTAGTCATTTATCAGGGTGCCATCTCGGCCTGTTTCCCCAACATGGCCCAACATTACTTATTTGTAATACGCAAAACAATTTTATATAAAATTTCTCTTCAGCCAGCATACCGACCTTATTGTTTTCATAATAATTAAGAAAAATCTAAAGCCATCCAGTATGGAACCAAAAAAAATAAATTTTTATTATTTATTATTATCTTTTTGAATTAAGAAATCTATCATCATTCCAAACGTGTAAATATTCCAAATTCCAACCCAATGATAATCAGCCTGGTACCTTGCACAGAGCTATCACAGCACCAGGACAATCTCATTAAAATCAAATCTTAGTTCTCACTACCGCTAAACAAAGATCTGAGGACATCCCAGTCGGGGTCACGTCAGAACGACCTTTCATCCGACCAATCAGAGCGTCGCTTACCAGATCATGAAAGTGACAGTCGGAATGTGATTTCTAATCATGCATCCTCGAAAACTTTAACACGGGGTATTCCGAACGATACTTACGGGTTTAACGACTGAATCCATGCAATCTAGACCATCTATTAGCCATTCCAGAATGTTCTTTTGTTCAGGTTTCAAATTTGTAATCGAGAATTTGTCAAAATATGTTTCGAAGCGTATTCACCAATTTGAAATTGGTGCCGTAAAGCATGAGAAAGCTGCCTTCTGATAGGTCAATCCATTGGTCGGCCAAAGTTCGCGCAAGGTCGGTCTGACGTGACCCAAAATGGGATGTCCTCAGATCTTTGTTTAGCGGCAGCGAGAACTTAAATCTGATTTTAATGAGATTGAGCACCAGGACTATACTTGAAGATGTCCTGCTATAGACGTATCACTGAGATAGCTTGTGGAAGTGAGCCTAGGTTGTAGCTGTGTGTCATGAGTCACCAGCAGCTTGTTAACTCCGATATGGCACCCTGCACGAAGAACTTGATCGAGTCCTACAGGGTACACCATGCCTTGTTTAGAGTAGGAGGTAGTTGACGTGTGATGTATCTACTTGTATATGCAGCATTTCTGTGTTTGAATTAGGATAGTGTTTGTTCAGAACCTTGGATTGAAGAATTGGCAGTTATTCCCTCTTAAAAAGCTCACATATTCACTGCCAGTGATTAAAAATATTCATATTTTATTTTCAATTATTATTTTGTGCCAGATGCTATTTACTTGCTCTAATATTCGCTGTCATTTTGACTGTTCTGTAAACTGGCATTGATTTTGTTGAGCAAATAGTTTGACCATTGTAGTATCAGTTCTTGTTCAGGAGAACCTTGTTTATCTGGATCTTGTCAATACAGGAACATCCCTATCAGGACAGATAAGTTGAATAATTTACAGATTTACAGCAGTAAGAAAATAATGTTTGGTCAGGGTTTGATGTTAATTTCTAAAATTAACCTCTTTTATTAGATTTCAGTCAAATACAGTTTGTTTTTTTACTTTAATTAATAATTAGTAGGGGTTCATCAATCAAACTAGAAACTAAATTGGTCTGGCCTCAGAAACATGAATTTACTGAGACTTTTTCCTTGTTTAATTTGTCTGTAATCAGTGGTGTCCAGATTAGCGAGGTTCAACTGTTCCATGGTCAGTCTGTAGTAGGTTATTGACAGTCTTTCTTAGAAGAGCTCGAAGTTGATATGCAGAGTGGTAGTTCTTTCTGCTAGTCAATTGATTGTTTTTATGTACTGTTAAAATGTTTTAGAATTATTTTGTTTTAATTTTCAGTCTATAATGAACATTTAAAGTGTATATGCCATATAATTCCGTCAAATGTAGATGTGTTAGAAGTATTTCCTTTTTTTATTTTTAGTCTTTGATGAACATTTAAAGTATTTGCAGTATTCTTTTCTTCAGTAGCATTTTATATTTGTATACTAAGTCAGCAGTTAATGTGCAATACTTGGTCCCAATAAATAAGCTCTTCATATTTTACAAATGTTACAACATGGCTCCCAATAAAAGCAGTTGTATGACATTATGATACTGAATTTTAAGCTGCTGTTTAATTATATAATATTATATGCTATTGTATGTGTACTCTGCATTGGTTTTGGAATATCTGTCTGTAACGTTTGTCATATTAAGCCAGCCAATGTCTAATTCAGTGCTTTTGCTTGAAGGAATTAACAGTCAGCAATTATCAATTCTATTTTGCTGTCTTTCAATGCTAGCTTTTTTTCAGTTCGAAAGCCGTTTGATTAGTGACATGTTTGTATGAGTACCTACATGAGATTAACACAGGATTTCTGCTTTTCTTCTGTTCTGGTATTGTGTGTGCCGTTTGCCCTCTTCCATGATAATGATGGTAAGCTAGGCGACATCATCGATATAGTGTCTGTGTCTTCGTTCTACTAATCCGTGCTTTCTTCACCTCTTCTGCCAGATGAATATTCAGTATGCTTGTAACCATGGTAACCATCTTCAGCATGTGTCGGAACAAAGCTTCCTCTTGATAACATAAGGATTAAACGATGTGGAATGTCTGTCACGAACAAGACCCAATATGTGTCTCCACAATTTTACAAGTGTTAACACACATTAAACAAGAATTATGCCAAAGACCATAAAATAAATAGTCAAGATTGTCTGTCCTTGATATCTTTACTATTATCATTCTGGGATCAATTGTGGGTTTAAAAAAATATATATTCTTCTGTGGATGGAGTGCATCTTAGTTGGGTATCTTGTTACTTTTTGAACGCTAAGTTTATTTTTTATCATGTGACTACATCGCTGTAATAATCTTATAATGTCATAGGGCCTGTATCTCATCTTTTGTTTCACATCATCAACACATTCAATGTTTTTGATGCCGAAAGTCCCATTATCTTAATATCTTGTAAAAATGTTGTTATATTTATATCTATTAAACTATCAGGTCTTGTTGCTAATTAAAAAGTTTGTTCTCCAAATATTCGTGACCTCTAAATTAGTGAAACCTAGTGTCAACTTATTGGTATATGGTTAATTAATAATTCTTTTAACAAATCAACTTTTACTAACATTTTCATTTAGACAAAAGTTATCTCCCCTTGTACCTTCATTAAATGAGTGATCCTGTAAAATACTGTATTCTGCACTGATGCAAAGACTAAATTGTTATTGTCATCACTGTTGATAATTAGCAATGTAACTCATCATCAATCTTCAATACTTCACTGGTTTGTATACACCGTATTCTGCCGTCACTTGGTAATACGTAGGAACGCTTTCCGATTGTACAGAGACCAATACTCAGCCCAAGCCTGGATACAAACCAGGAAAGTTTTGACGATGCTCATTAACTAAATCTATTTATATGCACATGGGAAATCATTCCATAATCACATCCTGGTGTCATAGTTATTAATCTCATACATACAATCATAAAATTATTTACTCTCATATCGCCTTTCATATTTCTCATTTAAGTTTGAATGTAAAAGAAATTCAATCAATCTACTGATTGTGGCTTGCTGAATTCCAGTACCCATAGCTCCACAGTTCGCTGTGCAGAGTTGTGTCCCTTGAGCACACCAGAATCCTATGATTGAGGGTTCAAATCCCAGTTTGCTCTGATTGTGTCTCTAGGTATGTCGGCAACATACTTGTGCTCGTAGGTTTCACCAAAGTGGTAAACGTCTGAGACCTGCATCACTTTGAGTTTTCCTCATACACGCCGTGACATAACTGGAATACAGTTCAAAGCGACTTTAAACCCTACTCACTTACTCTTACCCAAATAAATATCTCCAATACCAGTATCAATATATATTTTAAGTTACGTTTTTATTTAAATGAATTAATTTATTGGAATTAGAGCTTGTTCAGCATATTAACTGAATTTTTGGTTTTGTGATTATTTCTAGTTTGAGAAATAGATTGGCATGGCTAGTAATATCACCTATGCATGATACACTTGCTTTCATAAGCTGCTCGGGAGATAACACCAAAGGGTCATGTCAAAATGAGCATGTCTGTTTTATAGTGTTGTATTATTTCAGCAAATCACGCAGACCTGAAAGCCAAGAGAAAGACTTTTCTGACCGAGAGAAGCAGTTGTCTGAGAAGGAGGCGGAGGTAAGTTTCATCTTGACTCAATCAGTACATTGTGTAGTTCTGAGGGGTGACTTGAAACAATCAATATGTTGAGGAGTGACTTGAAACAATCAATAAGTTGTGTAGATCTGAGGGGTGACTTGAAACAATCAATAAGTTGTGTAGATCTGAGGGGTGACTTGAAACAATCAATAAGTTGTGTAGATCTGAGGGGTGACTTGAAACAATCAATACATTGTGTAGATCTGAGGGGTGACTTGAAACAATCAATACATTGTGGAGTTCTGAGGGGTGACTTGGAACAATCAATATGTTGAGGGGTGACTTGAAACAATCAACAAACCTCACCTGTCCTGTGTCCTCACCTCACCTGTCCTGTGTCCTCACCTGTCCTGTGTCCTCACCTCACCTGTCCTGTGTCCTCACCTCACCTGTGCTGTGTCTTCAGATCCGTCGCATGCAGGAGATGATCCAGAAGATGCAGAAGGAAATGGAGTCGCAGAAGGGGGCGCCGCAGCAGAATGGCGACGTCAAGTCCCACGACGTGTAACTGACGCTGGTTCTCAGGTATGTACAGAGGACTAGCATATCATCCGGGGTCTTGTCTTGTCTTGTCAAGACCATTTCTGACTTGTGCCTCTTTTGACCCATTTTGAGCTGACACGAGATAATATGACTAAAATTATTTTTTAAATAGAAATTAAACACTACTCACTCCCAACTCCAAACAGCACCAGAAAATGAACCATGTGATGATCCGTGTTTGAATTGGACTACAGCAACCATTGCTGGTCCAGGCTCAATTATTTACAGACCGCTATCATATAGATGGGATATATCTGAGTGCAGCGTTAAACAATATACAAATATTCAGATGTTAGACCATGATCTTCCTGATGACTGCATTATCGTGAATTTTTTTTTTTATTCAAAAGCACTTTTTTTGCAAATTCCTTGTTTTCCAATTTCAAATACTGACGTTACCTCTTTAACATTGGAACCGTGAATATCCAGGGTTGAATAGGTCTTCAGCAACCAATGCTTGCCAAAAGAGGCGACTAGGTGGTCAGGCTCGCTGACTTTGTTGATGCATGTCATCATATCCCAATTGCGTGGATCGATGCTCATGTCAGTCACTGGATTGTCTCGTCCAGACTCAATTATTTACAGACCACTGTCATGTAGCTTGAATATTGCTGAGTGCAGGGATAAACAACAAACAAAACAAATAAAATCATTAACGTTGCTAAATAACATTTGTTGTTTTTATATTGTTTACAGTAAATTTGGCAATATTGACAAATACTAAGGGAATGTATTGTAAAGCATCAACATGGCTTAACTTTTGGTGCTACTCAAATAATATTTGGGAGATAAGTCTTAGCCCCTATGTTTTAGCCTTTCTCTTATCACTTTCAGGGCCAGCTTTTATCTTACATGAACAGTAATACGAAGACCTGTGATTGGTCAGATCATGCCGTCATCCTCATCACTGACCAATCAAACTCTCTCATCAACCAGTTGGCTAGTCAAGTCTCAAGTGTTACATTTCAACACACATTCTACATGTTTCTCTATCTGAACCAACTTTCAGTATTTTCTTTTGTAGAATTCCATGAGTGTTGTTAAGTGCAATTATTAACAAACTGTATGTCATTCTAATGCCGTACGAACATACGCAGCGTCGTCACAAACATGTTCATATTTGCATGTATGTCGGCATGTGAACAATGTGCTGAATAATATCCATGTGTTGACGGCTGATGAGCTTGTGCTTATTTACATATCTTCCAACAACAAAAATAGAAATCCAAACTGAAATACTAGTTTGAATTTCCGTTACTGAATCACGAATAGTGAACTATTTAAAACCTGAATGTACATATCGACTTGTCAGGGAAACATGACTAGCAAGTAAATCAATGCACAAACTTGGATCCATTACTATGTAATTATCAACAAATCCTATAATACTAAAAAGGGACCTAGCAATTATTTTTTTTATAACTGACGCGTCTAAAAACCCATTTGGGAATAAAATATATCACAAACTGTTTTCATGTTTGTCCTGACACAAGATATTAAATTCATCAAAACAGCATTTAAATAATTGTTCAGGATCGTGGCCATCATGACATTGAATTATATATTATATATATTGAATACCTACCATATGTTTACACACAAGAGTTGGTCTAGAAATGGGAGTTATATCATTGTTACTTTTTCAAATGTAATGGATCAAAATTTGTTCCTTTTCAACCACTGATAGTATATGCCAAAAGGATGGAGAGATGTGAATGGTATTCATGATGACAAGCATCAGGCGTGGTGCACACCCCATATTGTATTGCTCATGACTGAATAGCCTGTCAGTCTGGACTGGGTAATAACCGCATCAATCTCATTAAAAGTGGACATCCCATTAAGGGTCACGTCAGAACGACCTTTCATCCGACCAATCAAAGCGTCGCTTACCAGGTCATGAAAGTGAGAGTCAGAATGCGTTTTCTAATCATGCAACCCGGGGTAATCCGAACGACAGTACGACTGATTCCGTCAAAATTATCGTCTATCTCTCGCTTCCGTGGGATAGACACTTGAATGGAGGAGGCGTTGCACAGTACGTGGAAAGCACTGCCATACAATCTCAACTACATATTAGACATTCCGGAATGTTCGTTTATTCAGTTTTACCAAAAATTAATCAAGAACTGTGTCAACATATTTTTCAAGTGTAGTCTGAAATGGAAATTGCCAGGTTGAAACGAGCGCCGTAAGGTCGTGAAAGCTGCTTTTTAATTGGCTGATGTCAACTTCTTGATAGTCGTTTCAGTTGTCGGTCAAAGTTCATGAAAGGTCGTTCTGATGTGACCCGTAATGGGATGTCCTCAGATCTTTGTTTAGCGGTAGCGAGAACTTAGATATGATTTTAATGAGATTGTAACCGCATGCACATCCAACAGTCTTCCTGGCTTTGATGGCTTTAATTCATAATTCTGGGATATGAATTTCAAAAGCTAAATTATCTTGTGTGCAAGACTTCATACCAGAATGTTTAATCTGTGTATCAAAATTGATTTCAATAACTACGTTCACAAGTATATGCATGTATTCTCAATCAAATAATCTGAACAACTGTAGAATATTAATTGTTTTCATTGATTAATTTGTTTTCTACGTTTTACTTAGGTTTCCAAATTCCCTAAATGTTTTAAGTGTAGACACATGCTGTTAATTTGTTCTTGCTACAGTTTGTGATAACTGTAATTATTAATTTGAATATTTCAGAAAATTGTGTATCCTTGTGTATATATTAATGTTTTCTGCAAATTTCAATTATTTTCTTTTTATGCTTATGTAAGCTGACACACAGTCCTCTTGTGAAACTGACCCTGTGGTCAAACTGTCATTGTTCTTACACTGTTAAATGTGAATAATCAGTTCCATCACGGAAGCGGAACATCTTTCAAAAACATTCATGATTTTGTGGACCCAACGAAATATTTAAAGTGCCAAAATAGGTACATTCCAAATGTTTGAACATTTTAGCTTTTTTGATCGCCGCCTGAAGTGTTTTCATGTGCTATGGTCATCGTTTGATATTTTCATGACATCAAGTCTAGTGCTGTCAATGGAGAGGTGCTTTTTGTGGCATTATTTTCTTTCACAGTATTTGACCAAAGTGCAGTACACCAGTTTTTTTCTCTTTAAGCCATTTTACCTGTTGTGAATGTTTGCTCATTATGACTATCATCAGCCATGATTATCAAATGTCGTGACTCCATTCTAGTTTGATATGCAGGCTTAGAACTAACTGAAAAGCTTTACTAGGCCAGGTAAGGATAAAATGCCCTTGTAATATTAAAACAATGGGAAAATTGGAAATTTTGTACTAGCCCACAGGCATTTGTACTAGCCCCGGGCTAGCAGGCTAGTGTTAATTTCTAACCCTGATATGTATCCTTGACCTCTTTGTATTGGAAGTGATGTTGCCGTCTCCATTTCTCTTGGGTTGGGTCTCTGAGAATGAAAATCCAGTGCTTACTGATCCATTGACCAGGGTAGTAATGTTAGCGCTTTGATAGGATGGCTATTTATAACATTGTCACTCAAAACGGAGCTGTATTGGCAAATAGATCCAGGATATTTATCATAATAGAATGAAGATATATGTGGATAATCGAGTTCTGCCGTGGTCTAAAATGTTGCATTATTTTCTCATTAACATGTAAGTGAAAGTGCTGTGCTAACAAGCTATGTGATCACCCTGATTACCATGGCTTGCTATTTATCCTCATATATAGTCACCATGTATCACAACCTACAGTGGATGTAGACTTATGTATTGTAGATCATCACACTGTTACCTCCAGCTAGGGGCTTTGTGTGACGGCTGTACAGACGCATCTGGACACAAACTCATCACAGATAGTCAATCAAATTGGTGCTTTTGGAGAGAAGTGTGAGGCCCCAAAACAAGAGTATTTCTCATATACGTAACGTAGACACATGCCACTGCTCTTGAGTCGTGACGGTCCATGGGGGGCAGCATGATGACAGTTGAGAAGTGAGTTCCACTCATTCCGGACATTGTGTCTTGTTTCATGGAAGGTGGAAGACAAACTGAAAAAAATCAAGAGGGACTATGCTCCACAAGCTAGATCTGTCAATCTAATGTAATCACTACTTGATGTCTGCGTTTATTTGAGCTTTCAGAGACATGGTGAGGGGCGGTCGGGTAGCCTAGTGGTTAAAGCGTTCGCTCGTCACGTTCGATTCCCGACATGGGTACAATGTGTGAAGCCAATTTCTGGTGTCCCCCGCCGTGACATTGCTGGAATATTGCTAAAAGCGTGAAAACCATACTCACTCACTCACTCAGACATGGTGACATCTTGAATGTCTTGTATCAGACTGTCCAGAGCATACCTAGTCCCTTTGAAGTGTAAGGTTCCAGTGACTGTCTGGAGATGCTGTGGATGTTTCATCATAATGTGGCTGAATAATGTAGGATGGCCTAAAACAATCTGTATGTTGACCTTGTGCCAATTACATGAAGTGGTGGACCGCTATAATGACCAAGTTGAAGGGTTACCAAATCTGCATGAGTTCTGGTAATAGGTTTACCCCTACAGAGTGACATAGTTCACAATTGTATTGTAATAGTATGAAAACAAACTAAACACATTAATCAAATCTCTCATAATGGCTCACTAGCTTCTGTGCTGGATCAGGGTACACAGTGTATGACATTGTTACACACAGGACCATGGAATACACAATGGTGTTTGTATGATTGTGAAGGGTCCAGGAAGGAGCCGGTGTTTGTGACGATATCTTGCCAGGAGTTCCGTCTCGTCTGGCGTGGATGTTATGTATATGTGCTAGTGTTCCCTCTGCAGCCTACGTGGATATATTGTACCTGTTCACAACTATATCTGTGCTTGTTTTCACTATTTTCCTCAATTAGGTTTTGTTCAGAACTTTGTAATGCATTTTGAACATTTTGTATGCATCTATACATTGTGAATTAAAATGACTCTTTTTTCATACAACCTTTTTTGTGTCTTCTTTTCATGTTCAAGTGTCATTGTGTACTTCAAATTACTTTTCTGCCTCAGTGGTCTAGTGGATAGTGTCAGCCCGGGTAGAGGTCAGTCAGGGTTTCGACCCCCAACCGCATCATACCCAAAAATGGTACTTGTTGTTACCCTGCCTGGCACTCGCATTAAGGGGATAAAACAAGGACTGGTCGGTTCAGAGTTGGATGTTCATGTTAAACTCCACGGGCTAGCACTATAAAACCGGTATGAGTCCAGACTAGGACTTGTACAAGTGAGCATGCACATCACCATATTAAAGCATATCTCCATTTCACCTTACCTCAAATTACTTACTTGAAAACAGTATGTACCTCAGGTCTTCTGGTATTGTTTACAACTTAGCATAAAGATATGGGGTTTAAGGTCGCCTCCAATATTATTGCACTTGTGTGTGTGTGTGGCTGCTTATACTAGTCCGGACTGATGCTGATTTAAAGTGCTAGCCCACTGAGATACCATGCCGCAGTTTAACAGTATACTGACTCTGAGCTGGCCAGTCCTTGTTTTAGACCCTTAATGCCAAACGCCAGACAGGGTAACAACAAGTACCATCTTTTAACGTCTTTTGGTATGACGCGGCCGGGGATTGAACCCCAGACCTGCTCTTCAGGTGGACGCTCTACCACTAGACCACGGAGGATGGAAGGCTACTGGTCACCATTCACTTTCTCAAGCACTCACCCTGTAGTAGGAACTGGGGAAAGATTAGGTCCCCAGCTTGTCATAAGATCACGTTGTCAGACTGTGTCTTGGGTGCTTGGTGTCATCGTTCCCAGATGGCCTGGGACATTGTTTAAGTCAACCACTTGCCTGCCTGACTTTCTTGTTTGTAGGTTGCTGATATTGCTAGACTATTGCTGACTGGCATAATGCAACTGACCAATCAAGCACTGCTTAGCTGCCACCAGAGATCAACAGATTGAAAAGGATCTCTTAATGCACCGGAAATCGACAGGGTGGGAAGGATCTCTCAATGCAAAGCTGACACCAGAGATCGACAGGGTGGGAAGGATCCCTCAATGCACAGCTGACACCAGAGATCGATAGGATGGGAAGGATCTCTCAATGCAAAGCTGACACTGGAGATCAACAGGGTGGGAAGGATCTCTCAATGCAAAGCTGACACCAGAGATCGACAGGGTGGGAAGGATCTCTCAATGCAAAGCTGACACCGGAGATCGACAGGGTGGGAAGGATCTCTCAATGCAAAGCTGACACTGGAGACCAACAGGGTGGGAAGGATCTCTCAATGCAAAGCTGACACTGGAGATCGACAGGGTGGGAAGGATCTCTCAATGCAAAGCTGACACTGGAGATCGACAGGGTGGGAAGGATCTCTCAATGCAAAGCTGACACCGGAGATCGACAGGGTGGGAAGGATCTCTCAATGCAAAGCTGACACTGGAGATCGACAGGGTGGGAAGGATCTCTCAATGCAAAGCTGACACCAGCGGTCGACAGGGTGGGAAGGATCTCTCAATGCAAAGCTGACACTGGAGATCAACAGGGTGGGAAGGATCTCTCAATGCAAAGCTGACACCAGAGATCGACAGGGTGGGAAGGATCTCTCAATGCACAGCTGACACCGGAGATCGACAGGGTGGGAAGGATCTCTCAATGCAAAGCTGACACTGGAGACCAACAGGGTGGGAAGGATCTCTCAATGCAAAGCTGACACTGGAGATCGACAGGGTGGGAAGGATCCCTCAATGCAAAGCTGACACTGGAGATCGACAGGGTGGGAAGGATCTCTCAATGCACAGCTGACACCGGAGATCGACAGGGTGGGAAGGATCTCTCAATGCAAAGCTGACACCAGAGATCAACAGGGGGGGAAGGATCTCTCAATGCAAAGCTGACACTGGAGATCGACAGGGTGGGAAGGATCTCTCAATGCAAAGCTGACACTGGAGATCGACAGGGTGGGAAGGATCTCTCAATGCAAAGCTGACACTGGAGATCAAGACATCAGGCTGAAGCCCAAACAATGAGTGACAGTCAAGATAAGGTGTGATGTTATTTCAGAAATTAAATATCAATGAGTGTAATGAGTAATCCTTTTTACTGAAGTTTCTCTTCATGCCCGTTCTCATCTGGAAGTCTGGGACTTGAATAACAGGGTCCCACTGCAGCCTCCAGTTCACTGCTCAACTGAAAACACACCATCACCAACCTTACGTCCTAGATGTTGGTATTCAAAATACAAAAGGCACAATGTCTTAAGGGCTCCTCACTAATCTAAATTTACTAGCGCTTCATCTGTTTCGCTAGTTCAAGAATCCCTCGTAAAATAACTTCCCTTTTTGGGATACCTATAAAGTGACGGAAACACTCATAAAATCAAACTAAGCGACCATGTTAAATAAAAGCGACAAAACCCTTTCTATAGTCAAAAGAAATTTCTGCCAGAGTCGATTGTACAATTCCGACTATATCATGAGCATGTGTTCACTAAATAGTGATGACACCAGGTGTTAGCGAAAAGGTCAGCGTATCCTTCCCAACCAGTGGCACACGTCACAAACACATGCAAAGGCAAGTCAATTGTTCACCTGATAAAACCTCGGGAACATGTGGTACAAATCAAAAAAGGGAATTGTATCTGACATCTTTCTTGTCACTGATGCGTCAAATTTGGAAATGTCCTCCACATGTCTACCATAAAACTTTTTGAAAGCTTCACTTGGGCTTTGAATGCTGTGACCTTGATCAAACAACTTCTGAGCAAGATTCGTATAACGCTCTTTGAAATCTTGATAGAAAGATCATGCTCGATTGTACCTAATAAAATGTGAAATGTAAACACCAAAGGCTGGACCTGCCTGTACGATATTGTCTACAGCTGCACAGGTGAAGGGGGATGAAAAGATGGGGTGAAATGGGGGTTAACGTCGTGTTCAAGATAATTGCACTTTATGGCGACGCGCTTGTGTGCTTGCACTAGTCCAGACTTACGGCTGTTTTATAGTGGCCCACTGTTTGTTTTTTGTTTTTTTTGTTTAATGCGGCACTCAGCAATATTCCAGCTACATGTAAACAATCGAGCCTGGACCAAACAATCCAGTGATTGACACCATGAGCATTGATCTACGCAATTGAGCTACGATGACATACATCCACCAAGTCGACGAGCCTGAACACCCGATCCCGTTAGTTGCCTGCTGAAGACCTATTATATTCCGGATCTTCACGGCCCACTGAGATACCATGCCACAGTTTAACATGGATACCGACCAGTCCTTGTTTTATTCACTTCGTGCCAAGCGCCTTCTTTTGAAACCTTTTCGTATAACACAGCCGGGGATCGAACCAAAGCTCTCTGGGCTGACGCTCTATCGACTAGACCACAAATGCGGTGTGAGATGAAAAGTCTTAATACGATGGAATGAGTTGAAATTATATATCTTGACAACACGTGTAGGTCCCGGTCGCTGCCGAAACGTTGACATGAATTCTGTGAACGGTATGTGTGAAGTGATTCATTCAGCAAAGCCTCCGTAAAAAAAACAGGACTTTGAGTAATAAGATGTTAAACAACAAACATAGAAACCGCCATGTGTCGTAAGAATGTTGCTTCAGTTTTCGAGCAGTAAAACCTGAACACTCTCGTTTGATTCGACACGTGTGAACCACGTGAATTCCTCCTTGCCCATCGCTGTTATGTGAATGAACCACTGCATAAAGAAGCGTACATACGCATTATACAAGTGAACACGTTCCAAACCATATTTTATACTTATTCCTGGTGTAGAACCAGTGTAACCTATAAGTTGTCTGGATGGTAAATTGTCTGCCCAGGGAGCAGAGGGTGGTTCGATCCTCGGCCGGGTTATATACCAAAAGACGGTATACTTGTTTCCCAGCCTGACTCTCGGTACAGAGTGGATAAAACAAGGACTGGTCGGCTCGCAGACTCGAGCTCTGACTGAGTGGGTTAAAACTGCAACATGGTATCTCATGCAGCCCAGACAGCGAAAGGGACTTCTCCCAGGATGCCCTCCCTAGTCGAACCCACCCAGAACTTTTCGGAGAATGTGAAGACTCCCCAACACTGCAGGCTTCTCCATTACCCAGATTGTCAGAAGGGCTGTATTCCTGGTACCAAACCCGGGTACTCTCCCAATGTCAGTCCACAGATTTGGAGGTACCAAACCTAAGGCACCGAGAACAATGGGGACAACTTGGTACTTGGGATGCAATTGTAACATTTCGAAAGCATGTCAATCACATGTGTGTCAAAAGGGACAGAAAATTTTAATAATGTAAATGATTTCATTGGATTTATCAAAAAAGACAAGATCAGGTTTGTTGGCCTGAATACGTCTGAGGTTGTAAACGGGCCTATTCCAAACAATTTTGTATTTTTCATTTTCCATAACGCCCTCTACATATTCCGGGTCGTGCCATGGATGGACCTCTGTGTCAAAACCACAAATACGACGAAGGCTTAAGATACTGTGTATGTGCCAAAACTGGGCATCCACCGACAATGTGTTGGACAATCTCATTAAATTCATTGCATAATCTACATTTCTTATTTACATTTTGATGCAAAATCACACATTGACGGTTTCGAGTGGGAAGTGACTGGCCTTTAGCAGCAAAAAGAAAGCCTTCTGTTTCACTTTTCAGGCCAGCCGACTTCATCCAAGCGAAGGACTCTGCAGGGTTGCTGATCTTCTCAAAACACTGCACATAAACCGATGCAGTGGTCACAAGAGGACCATCAGACAAATAAATGTATGCAAAAGTGCACAATTCAATTCTATCATGAAGAGCCTCCACGTTAATCAAACCACGTCCTCCCATTATGATTGGTAAATATAAGCGATTGAGGGAAGAGCGAGGGTGGTGGGATCTATTGTCTGACATGATTCTTTGTGAAAGGGTGTCAATACCCTGAAATTTTCTGTTTTGTCCAATCAACAACACCAAAAGAATACGAAATG